CCCAAACCCCCCAAACCCCCCTAACCCCTAAACCATCATCCACGAGTCGAGTCTCGCCACACACACTGTAGGTACAATCTCAGTCAGACACGAACCCTAAACCCTAAACCCTAAAGCACACTGACACACGATGGACACAATTAAATAGCGAAGAAAGTAGACCACTCTCTCACTCGCTCCCGCACAGACACATCCAGCGTCCATTCATTTACTAATACATCGACACCCACCACTCACCACCCACACCGCAGAGACAGACACAGAACCCGGGCAGTGCTGACATCTTTCTCTCCTTCCCGCGTACGCACACAGCGTCCATCCATTCCCCAATGCGCGCGCCAGGCACCCACTAACCCACATGCGGTGCCCACATCAATCCATCCATCCATCCATGTGTCTCATTGTGTGTGGCCACAGTCCCGCTGTGCGCATCTCTGTCGCCGCCCGACAACCCAAAAGCACCAACACCACACGTAGGCTGATGCTCTTACATTGCGAGGTAGCTACGTAGATCCCCACAGAGGGACACACGAAGGCAGGAAACCAAGACGCGATATGTAACAGACATAACACAAAACGGTCTCTCTCTCTCTTTCCCACCCACGAGACAAGCGAGAGGCATGAAAGAAAGAAGACACCCACACATCCGTGTGTGTCTGCGTATCGACATTCGACAAACGAATGGCTCATAGCAGAAGCGCTGATCGGTCGTCTGTGCGCGAGAACCATTGAGATCTGTCAGTGTGTCCATCCGCCCCCTCTCTCTGCTCTCTCTGTGTTGTGTGACGTGTTGTGTGCATCTCGGCAGCCGCCCGGCAGTCAAAGAGCGACAGACAGAGACACATGCTGACACAGATCGATTGCCGAGCGCTACATCATGCCCACAAAGGGACAGAGAGGAGGACACACTCTTTAAGGGCAAACCCACATACAATACCACACAGAGCACAGCTGGCGAAGACAGAAGAGCAGATCGGCCTCTCTCTCTTTCCACCCACACAGAGAGACAGGCAGAAAGGCGACCGACAGAGAGGCACATTTGCACATCGGTGTGTGTGCGTGTCCGTCTGTCGGTGAGCCGCCCGTGTGTGACGAATGCACCGACGAGAGATCAGCACACTCTCGCGAGCAGGCGTCACACACAGATATCTCACAGCCAGACGGCAGCCCAAACACCGCTCCACACAGCGATTCCCTGTGCAGGCAATGAGCCAATCGTCCCCTTCTCTGTCTCCTGTGACGGCTGTCTGTCGTGCATCGGCCGACACACTGAGGAGTGTAAGCAACAGAAGCATGACGATGCTCAGACCGACACCTTTGTATGAGAGCACACTGACAAAGGGATCTACATACGACAGCCACCCGCTGTCACACACACACACACAGCAGCCAGCACTATGAGTCGCAGTTGTGCCTTTGCCTTTCCTTTGTGCGCCTCACGACGTGCCTCACGTGTGTGATGTGTGTCTGCCAGACACCGCACGGCCACCGCACACAGAGTGAAGATCAACACTCACTGTCTATGGTAGCCGCCAGGGATCAGACAGCCAGCACACCAACACACGCAGACACAGCACATCATAGCACCACAGCACCCAACAGAATCACTCTGTCTCTCCCTCAATTGTGCCATCTCTCTGCCCCACGAGATGTGACAATGCACCTTCTTCCAGCCAGACTGACAAGCACACACACAGACCACAGCAGCCATCCCCTCACTCAGGACGGCATAATAAAGACACCTGAGTGCCAACCCACGAGAGAGACAAGGCGATTCAGTTCAGTCGAGTCAGTCAGTCAGTCGTCGACATATCGGCCGACACATCGGCCGACACACACATACACACAGACACACACACACACACACAGACAGACGAGCAGCACTCAGCGGCCATCGTTAGTCGTCAAACCCGCCAGCCAACCAAGCAGACCTCTGTCTCTCTTATGCGCCCATCCCTCTCTCTCTCCCCCCCGCCCGCAGGGGACAGGGAGGCCACAACACTCATGTGTGTCAGTCTGTGTGGTCGGCCATATGGACAAAATGCGTGTGTGTCCATGCACTCATTTGCCCACCCCCTCTGTGGGCATCTCTGTCGCCGCCCGGCAACCCCAAAGCACCAACGCCGCACATGGGCTGATACTCTGTCGTTGACGAGTGGGCCGAGATGGAAACAAAAGGGAGAGGGGGGAAGACATACTCATGCAGTAAAACCACGATCTCAGGCACAGTCTCTTACTCTCGCTCCCAACCACACATAGAGACAGACGGGCCAGGGAGGTGAGAGCCGTGACGGCGACATACACATGGCCGTCAGCGGAGAGTGGCAGAGAGCGTCAGTGGATGTCGGTGTGTAGCCACCGCCCTCCCCCCCCTCTCTCTCGTGTGCATCTCGGCAGCCGCCCGGCAATCAAAGAGCGACAGACACACTCACATGCTGCCACTCCAGGATTGCAGGCAGCTGAGCGATGCCCACAAAGGGACAGAGAGGACGACACACGCAGGAAAACTAAACACTCTCTCTTTCCAAGCAGGCGAAAGATGCACAGTGTGTGGGGGTCGGTCTGTTTGTCAGCCTGTGAGCCGCCCGTGTGTGACGGATGCACCGACGAGAGATCAAGACACTCTCGCGCACAAACATCCCACTCGCGCTACTGACAGACGGCAGCCCAAACACCGCACCACACAGCGATTCTCTGTGCAGCCAATCAGCCAATCGTCCCCTTCTCTCTCTCCCTGTCTGTCTGTCTGTCTGTCTGTCATACTTCCCCCGCCCCCCACTCACCGGTCCACACACTCACGGCAGCAGACGGCGCACACGCAAAACCCCACACAGTCCACACAGAGAGAAAAGGCCGACCAACACACGACAGCCGTCGCCTCACACACACACGGCGACAGACTGACAGAGAGAGGGGGAGTCCGTCGACTCATCGGCCGATCATCCTGCCTCCCACACACAAATGGATCCACACACACACACACACAGACACACGAGCAGCACTCAGCAGGCACAGAGATGGAGAGCTCGGTCGTCGTCTCGCTTGTCCCAAAATCAGTATATCAGTCACAGCTGACACACACACACACCGCCGCAGACAAACAGACGTCATCGGCCTTTCTGTGTGTCCCTATCCCTTTTGGTGTCTGTGTACCATCAGACGGGCACACCCACCGTCAGAGGTATCGCCTTGTCTCGGTGTCGTCAGTCGGTCAGTCGACGAGGCAGAGAGGGGGAGAGGGAGAGAGATACGTCATCGGCCGATCTGTCCTCCTTCAGCACGTATCGCCGTCACCATCAGCCATCAGCGCTGATGACACACAGACACACAGATGACAAGCAGCAGTCATCTCGGCGTGTCACTGGCCTGACTGAGGCACCGCCGCAGAGCCGCCCCGCCTGACTGACACGTTCGTGTGGGCTGGGGCGAACACACGCAGGAATGGGGTGAGGAGGACACAAATCTCAACGGCCGAAAGAGCTGGACGACGTCTCGCTTTCCGGAGGGTTTTTCGCTTCCGGGGGGTCAAAGGGTTTGTTACCCTGCAAAAGTGCGAGCTTCGATCATATATTCTGGCTTGATTTTGGAGGCGTTGATGGCAGACAGCCCCACTGCTGCCGCACCAGCCGCAATTGCCGCCACCGACGCACTCACCATCCGGTTTGGCCTTCTCCATGCTGATCTGTCTGCTTAATGCAGCAGCCCTCCTGTCCGCCTTGGCGAGCGCCACCAGCGCCTTCCGAGCGCCAGCTGTGCCGCAGCCACTCTTTCGCTCGTCCGCCAAGAAGGTGCTGCTGAAAGCGGCACGCAGCGAGTCGGCACCTGCAGTGGCGACGACATCCGATGGCGTTGATGTGATGATGGACAGGCGCCGGGATGGCGCACACGAGAGGAAGACGGAGCGGCACTCTGGTGTTGAAGTTGATGTCGATGTCGATGCCAGTGTGGCTGATCGTGCCGTTCAGTCGCATGGGTCATTATCGGCTGGCGGCAGTGGTCATGGCGATGGCGTGTCGATATGGGACGAGTGGCTACAGGTGTTCAAGCGGGAGGACAACAAGGAGTGGGACATCGACTTGGTCAGTGGTCTGCACAGCGATGGATGGATGGATGGACAGCTGGAGATTTCTCTCTCTCTCTATCGTGTGTTGTGCCAGGTTGTGAATACCTCTCTCGTGGCTGTGTTCTTCATTGGAGCGCTGTGGAAGATTATTTCCATCGAAATGGACGCTTGGAGGGGTCAGACAGAAACAGCCACACACGAAGATGACAGAAGGAAGAGTGACGCACCTCTCTGCGCTCGTGGATGAATGGATGCAGGCTGGACAACGCTCGAGATCGCCACTCGTGTGCTGCCGGCCAATTGGGGCGCCTACCTAGGGGTGCTGGCTGCGAAACCAGTGCTCGTCAAGGTGGGTGCGGTGCCCATCCATCCACACACAGACAGGAGGAATGCTCCATGAACACATGTGTGGCTCGCTGCAGGCACTGACGTCGGGGACGGCATACACACTGGGGGACGGCATAGCGCAGGTCAGACATACAGACTGACTGACTGACAGACATGTGTTGTGTGCATCTTCCTACGTGCGACATGGATCTATCAGATCACCGAGGGCACGGGTCTGGGCGGCCTTGACCGTGCTCGTGTGGCGAGAAACGGCTTTGCCGGCCTCGTTGGACACGGGCCGCTCTCGCACTACTGGTGTGTATGTGTATGTGGGTGGGTGAATGGATGGATGGACAAGTCTACGCACGCTGCACCGTGTCCGGTTGGTTATGGATTGGTTTAGGTACATCTTGAGTGAATCGTTCTTTGCGAGCATCGGCATCACGGCCTGGTGGGCCGTCTTCCCAAGTGAGCTGAGCGAGGAGGGAGGAGGAGGGCATCCACGCCCGGCCATCCATCCATCCATCGATCGTGATCTGGCTGTGTGTGTTTCAGAACTGGTCGTCGACCTCACCCTGTGGGGCCCTTTCTTCTGCTCGATATACCTCGCCATCAATGGCTTCCTGGAAGGTAGGGAGGGAGGGAGGGAGGGAGGGAGGTCAGCCCGGCTGTGTGTGTGAGTGTGTGTGCGCGTGATTCAGGCAAGAGGCCGGAGCATGTGCTTGACGGCATCCGCACCAACGTCATCCCGCTGTGCATTCAAGGCGCCAAGTTCTGGGGAATCGGTGCGCCAGCCAGCAGAACACACAAACCACACACACACACTGGGAGAGACGGAAAGACCTGAACACACACAGACACACACGAGCCCCCTCTGTATATGTGTGTGCGTGTCAGTTGGCCTTGCGACGTACAGCGTGATCCCCATCGACCAGCGGCTCCTGTGGGTCGACCTCATGGAGCTCTTCTGGGTGACGATCCTCTCCACCACCTACAACAGGAAGGAGCAGAAAGAGGCCAAGGCTGACCTGGAGGAGGCTCTCGAGAGGGAGGAGCGCGAGGAAATGCGCACCGAGTTCACAACCAGATGATATGGTGAGTAT